ATCTCAACCCATAAGTCTCCTTGCCCTTTTCCATCCAATTCTCTCCCCTACTCCGTGGTGGGGGGAATCATTATTATTTTATTTTAATTAGTAAATAGCTCTTATCTCAACCCATAAGTCTCCTTGCCCTTTTCCATCCAATTCTCTCCCCTACTCCGTGGTGGGGGGAAGAGTGAGAGAGCGACTGGGTTTGGCTGCAGCCAAAGGAGTGAAACCACCACAGTCTTTTTTTTTTTGTGCCCAATATGAAGCTCCAACCCATGACCCTGGGATTAAAAGTCCCACGCTCTGAGTTAACCCAAAACCAACCCAAATGGATTCAGATCAACCCATTGCAGGGCCGGTGAGACGCGTGGGGCTGTCACCTTGTGGAAAGGGAGGTGGGATCCAGGTGCCACACCAAGACGCAGCTCTGGCAGGCGACGGCGAGGATGGAGGCGCAGAGCGGCTTCCAGGCCATGGCAGCCACGTTCCTCTGCAGGCGATGCTTCAGCGAGGGGATGGTGGCACTGCCAGAGAGAAGCATAAGAGGAAAAATGAGGGATCAAGAGTCCTCACACAGCCTGAGGTGAGCCACAAGTGTCCTCTCTCCAGCTCTGAGCACAGTGGGGGCCTAAAAGCACAGTGGGGGGGGAGAGGGATGTGCCCCACCGTGACCTGCCTCCCTTGTGGGGACAGTGGACATCCCAGCCAGGTGACACCAGCACCATGCAGCAAGCCAGAGCACACCTCGTGCGATTAAACGCCGTGCCCTGTGCTGCCCACAGCTCAGCCCCAGGGTGAGAGATGGCACTTGCTGGCTTGAAATCCCAACTGGGGGAGAGAGCCTCAGCAGGGAGGAGCGGGGAGGGCTGCAGGACCAGCCAGCAGAGTCTTCTCCTGAGGAAGGCTTTACATGCCTCAGGGGAGCAGGGAGACCTGGAGGAGAAATGAGATTCAACGGCACCCAAGAGGCTGCTCTGCAGGTGATGGCAGCCAGGTCGTGTGCCCAAGCTGTCCCCAGGAGCAGGGAGGGAAAGAAAAATCAAAGCTTAAGTAAAGCCAGAGATTTTTTGAGATGCCCTTGCAGAGCTCCTGCTACACAGCAAGATGTTCTGGGCACAGACTGTGCTGGTGGGAGCAAAACCCGAGCGAACACTGAGGTGGAAGAAGGCAGAGACAGAATCCCAGAACTGCCAGGACTGGAAAAGATCTTTAAGCTCAAGTCCAACCACGAACCCAACACTGACCAGTCCCCGACTAACCCATGTCCCTCAGCACTGTGTCTACACGACTCTTCAATCCCTCCAGGGATGGGGACTCCACCACTGCCCTGGGCAACCCCTTCCAATGCCTCAGAACCCTTGCAGCAAAGAAATTCTTCCTCACATCCCATCTCAACTGCCCCGGCCACAACTGGAGCCCATTTCCTCTTGTCCTCTCACTTGGTCCTTGGTTGAACAGACCCACCCCCACCTCTCTCCACCCTCCTTGCAGGGACTTGGACAGAGCCAGAAGGTCTCCCCTCAGCCTCCTTTTCTCTGGGTACCCTCAAACGCTGGGGGAAACCTCAGTATAAGCTGGGGGTGGATGGGAGAGGGCGAAGCGGGGAGCAGGGGGTCTGCAGAGACACCCCCCGAGGAGCAGAGCCCCCTGGGACGCAGCCAGCGGTACCCGAGGAGCAGCTCAGCCCGTACCTGTTGGAGTTGTAGACTCGGATGGAATCATCCAGAAGAGCCACAGCAAATTTGCTGGTGTGGGGGTGCCAGGCAAAGGCCCGGATGGTGCAGCCGGCCCTGGAGGGAGGGACGGGGCAGGGTGAGGGATGCCGGACGCCACAGCGGCATTTTGGGTTTGAAGCAGCAGTGATGGGCTCTTGGGCACCGTATGTGACCACCCAGCAGCCCCCCAAGACCAAAGGCATTTTCCAGTGTCACCAGTGAAATAAAAATTCCTTTTCCCTGCTGAGCAGGACAGTTTTCTCTGATAAATTCCCTCCTCCTGACAATTATTCACAGGGCTCTGATGAGGGGCTGGTTAATGAACCACCAAGGGTCAATATTTGAAGGAATTTCCCAAGCCCTGATCTAGTCAAACTCTGTTTCCCCCATCGGGACACGCTTTGGCTCTCGCTGTTGCACACAAACTAGGGCAACCAGAGGCAACAGGGAAATACCTGAGGGGAAGGCTGAGCAGACAAAAACGGGGTGATCCTGCCCTTGTATCCCCACCCGCTTCGCTCAGCTCCGGAACCCCTCTTCACGGGGTTTCACAGACACCTGGGCCCGGTGTTTTCACGACAAGCAGGACTCACCAGTCCACCGCCTGGGAGAACGCCGCGATCATGTCTTCACTGGTCAACTGCAGGGGAGAAGAATTAACACTTGAGTGGGCAGCACACACAAGAGCAGCAGCTGATACAGCAGTGAGGAGCCCCCCAGTATCCAAACATCCCCTCTTCCTTCTCCCCCACCTCAATTTCAGTCCCTCTGCAGCACTTTGCTCTCCTAAAACCTTTCCAGCACCCATTCTCCTCCCTCTGGTGATGGAAACCCAGGGTGTTTTTCATAGAATCATAGAATGGTTTGGGTTGGAAGGGACCTTAAAGCTCATCCAGTCCCAACCCCCCTGCCAGCAGCAGGGACACCTTCCACTAGACCAGGTTGCTCAAAGCCTCATCCAACCTGGCCACAAACACTTCCAGGGAGGAGCAGCCACAGCTTCTCTGGGCAACCTGTTCCAGTGTCTGACCACCCTCACAGTGAAGAACTTCTTCCTAATATCTCATCTAAACCTCCCCTCTTTCAGCTTAAACCCATTTCCCCTTGTTTTGTCATTAACTGCCATTAGGAAAAGTCCTTCCTTTTTAGCTGAGTACCACCAGGAAGAATATTTTGTTCTGTTTTCAACTGGGAAGCAACAACCCAACAGCCAAACCAGCCCCACCTATAGTCACAGGCCACGTCACATCGTCCCTGCCTTCCCAAACACAAGGGTTAAGTCCCAAAAAGACTCACTGAAAGGTGGGGGAACAGGGAGCCATGCAGTGAGGAGAACCAGTGGTACATGGCCAGCGTGTAGCTTGAGCCTGTCTTCACCCACTGAAGTCCTGTGGAGAAAACAGGATCATCAGAACTTCCATGGTCATCAACGAGAGGTGGAAGAAGCAGAGGCAGCTGCGACAGGCAGGGATGGGGAGGATGGAAAAGGGGGTGAAGGGAACTGAAGGATCAAAACGAGATCTGGAGAGATGCAGGAGATGTCCAGGTTCTTCAGCAGCAGCCCAGACTCACCCTCCTCCTCGGCACTGGCAATCTCTTTCAGCACACCGCACAGCCCCACGTCCCGCCTGCAGCAGAAAGGTCCGTCAGCCACCCTCACCTTGCACGTTGGTGACACAAAGCCCAGGCCACCACTATCCCCATCCCCTCAACATCCACCTCACCTACTGAGAACCTCCTCCAGGGCCTCCAAACCAGCTCTCCCCTCAACTGGGGACACACCAGTAACCAGTAACTGCTGGACCTGTCCCCAGTGGCACTGAGCTGTATTCAGACCTCCCCAAACTCTCCCAAACTGTCCTGGTTTTAACTGTCATGGTTTTCCCCCCCAGAAAAAGGGGGATCTGAGCCCGGAAAAAGGAGGGAGTCTGAGCATGGGAAAGGGAGTTTGAGCTTAGAAAAGGGGGTCTCAGTGTGGAAAAAGGGGGTCTGAGTGCAGCTCTGAAGTGCAGAGGCAGCTCCTGGCCTTGACTCCTGCCTCTCGGGGGACACACTCACCAGGCGCTGAGGCATCTCTTCCAGAGGGACTCACGGTGATGGATGAAGGTTGGGCGGGTGTTGTGCTCCAGCCGGCTGGGAGCCTTGAGGGTCTCCTTGGGCAGGCTGAGGACAGGCAGGTCTGGCAGCTGAGGGGACAGACACCGCGCGGTGAGCGAAGCTGCTGAGCTGAAGGGTTCCCATTGCAGGAAGCAAAGAGTGATGTGATATAAGAAGGGGTGCAAGGATGGGGACAAGGGGTGAAGAAACACCTTAGCTCTATCTCCTTCAGAGAATGGTTTGGGTTGGAAGGGACCTCAAAGCTCATCCAGTTCCAACC